CATTGCCTACAAGTAAGGCATGGGTCAAAGACTAATTGATGTATATGATAAGAAGAATGAGAAGACTATAGCTCTAAAAGAAAACAACTCAAATAATGGCAGTTTTATAGTGAAAGAGAATGACGACATTGCATTGATGACCTATTTGTTCAACATTTTCTTAAGAGGAAGAAAAAGCATCATCAATAATATTAGAGCAAAGGTAAAGGAAACAAAAAATTTAAGCATCATCTAACACCATATTCTTTGAATCAAAGAAAAAAGGACATATCCGATTAGACTACCCCAACCTGAAAACTCTCCCAGTCAAGGAGAAGGGTGAAGAGAAGGCAAAATTCAGGAAGGGGAAGCACTTGACATAAAAGAAGTTTTAGGCCAACTCCACCTTAAAATCATTTGAAAAAGAATTAGAGAGGAGATTACAAACCTGTATTTTATGCCTAATGATAATCTTGATTAGTCAAATAAAGATGAGATATGTCAACTATCTTATGATGAATTGTTTATTATTTTAAAAAAATCATGATTCATATAAGAAGAAGTAGAAGTTGTATGCTAGCATAAACACTAACGTTTTTAATGTACAAAAAGAGCATACTAGTCTAATAACTAAACATTATACTTTAGATATTGATCAAATTATGGAGAGCAATTAAGGTTGATTGATACGATCACATCCGTTGGAATGATGTCCTAGATGATTGACATCGGCCAGCATATATTCCGAGCGATGTTCAGGATGATTGTACTCGGATTTAAACTAATCGTCAATGATGATATTGGATCGACGTGGATGAAATAACCAATTTTCTTCTGATTGTCCCAAATTGTCCCGGCTAATTGAGCTTATTTTGTACTGATCGGTCAGGATGATATTCCAATTGTCCTGGATGATAATGTCAGTTCTTGAATTCTATTTAAAGGACCCAAATGTTTTTATGCAAAGAGACCTTTAGCTACAGTCTTGACCTGAAAGAGCCAAGAAGAGATGGAGAGAGAGGGAGAGAGAGGGAGGAACTTGTGAGGGGGAGTTTGTGAAAGGGATTCACAAAGGTTGCTCCAAACAGGGTTCCAAGGTGTCTTCTCAAATCTTTGTCCTTTATCCTTGTGGGTTTAAGGGAGGTAAGTTTAACCAATTGGTCAAGGTTCTCTACCTTCTTCAGGAGGAAACAAAAGGAGTCATGGTTGTCTACTTTCTTTAGTAGGAAGCAAAAGGAGTTGGGTTCTCTGCCTACTTTAGGCGGAATCAAAAGGAGTTCGGTTCTCTTCCTGCTTTAGTAGGAAGCAAAAGGATTTGGGTTCTCTGCCTCACCGGGCTTGGCAGAAAGGAGTTTTTGTGAGGGCATCGCCGCCTTGCTATGGGAGCAAAAGGAGAGTCACTTTTATAGTGCAATACTCTGAGGATGGCTCTAAGGAGTGGATGTAGGTAAAGGTTTGACTGAACCACTATAAATCTGATGTGATCTCTTTTTTTTTTTTTAATTTTTGTATTTATTTTTCCACACTGTGTTTTCCGTGGTGATTTTAATTTATGATTGCGCTTTGACTGTAAGAATATTTTTTAAAATACCAATTCACCCCCGCTCTTGGTTAGCCTTGGGTCAGTTCTTAAGAGCTTAATATCCCTAACAAACTTTCACATTGAGTTCATACACAACAATTTTTACACTATTCGAACGTATGAAATGAGAACTTACGGGATGATCATAAACGCATAGATTTGAAAAATTGTAGTTTTTGGATGATTTTTCGTGTCTTCTTAGAAAAGGTTCACTTAAGACTGTCAGGAAATCTTTTTGTCTTTTGGTCTTCTTGGATACTAAAGGGAAATTGAAGGAGAGAGTGAGAGAGATTGTTTGAAGGAGAGTTCTTTTGTTTTCACTTGATTACTCAATGCTAAGGATCTTTATTTGTTATTTGTGATTACTTCACACTTTTCTCTTGTTCTTCTATATTTCTCGTGAGAGGAACATTCAAGAAGATCCGATTCTCTATCGACACTCAAGAAGTGTGAAAAACCAAAAGTTCTCTGCCTACACTTAGAGAGTGTGAACAGCGAAATTTTCTCTACCTACACTTGGAGAGCGTGAATAGCGGAATATTCTCTGCCTACACTTAGAGAGTGTAAACAATGGAAGGTTCTCTACCAACATTTTGTGAGTATGAATAGCAGAAGGTTCTATGCTATCACTTAGAGGTTTAAAAGGATGAAGGTACTCTGCTTACACTTGGAGGGTGTAAAAGGACGATGGTTCTCTGTCACATCGGATAGTGGAAGAAGAGAGTTTTTGTGAAGGCTTTTCTATCTTACTGTTGGAGAAAAAGGAGAGACACTGGTGGTAATAGTGCAATACCTGAAGTGGCAGACTTCAAGGAGTGGATGTAGGTCATGTTTGATCGAACCACTTTAAATCTTATGTCTTTTATTTTCCACTGCTTTTTATTTTATTTCTATTTTTGTTTTTATCTATGGTTGAAAAATGATTTCTAAAAAATCACTAAATCTTAAATTAGTTTAAGAGAAAATTTTTAAATTACCAATTCACACCCACCCCCGCCTTCTTGGTTAGCCATTGGGACATAAGCTTAGGTCTAATAACCTAATTCATAATTAACAAGTTTCAACAAGTGGTATCAGAGCTTTATTTCAAAACCATAAGTTTAGACTACTTTTTATTAATGATCATGGCTATATTTTGAAATTGAAACACACATGAAGGTTACTTTATACCTAGACCTCCCTTATTTGACAATATTCCTTTTGATTTTTGGAAAACATGCATGTCAACATATTTATACTCACTAGATTATCATATGTAGATCTTAGTTTAGGAAGGGTATAAAAAACTAACTAGACTGGTTGATGGCATTAGAATAGAAACACCCTTTGTGGATTGGACTGTAGAAGAATGTGACTTAGCACAACTGAATGAAAAATATTTAAATAGTTTCTTTTGTGCACTTAAGTCAGAAGATTACATGCAGATTTTCACTTGCAAGAGTGGAAAGGATATATGAGATAGACTTTGTATAACATATGAAGGGACAAATGAAGCTAAATAATATAGACTTAATATCTTGTTGCATGACTATGAATTATTTTGCAAGAAATTTAATGAATTCATTTCTGACATGTACAGAAGATTCACACATATAGTCACCTCTTTACATGCATTGGATAGGGAACTAACGAATGCTGAAATGGTTAATAAGATACTTTATTATTTGCCTACTATATATGATGCTAAAATAACTATGATTATAAAGTCTAAAGATTTAAATGTTTATTCTATTGATAATCTTCTCGGATCACTAATTACTTACGAGCAAAGAGTGAGTCAAAGAAAGATTGAAATAGGTGAACCACTAAGGGAGAAGAATATAGCACTAAAAGTAAAGGAGTTAGAGAGTGATCTATCACAACCTGAGGATGAAGACGACATCGTATTAATGACTAGAAATTTCTGAAGCTTTTTGAAGAGGAAGCAAAAGAGAAGCCAATAATGGAATCGAGGTAGGTTCAATAGGAATGTTAATATTTCAAATTATGTTATTTGCTATGAGTGTAGGAAACCTGGACACATTAGGTCAGAATGCCCAAAACTCAAAGTCACTCCTAGCAAGGAGAAGGTAGAGGAGAAACCAATGGTGAAGAAGGGCAAGAAGAAATTCCAAAGAGCTTTCTAGGCAGACTCAGCTTTAGACTCATTAGAGACTAAAAAGGAAGAAGAAGTCACCAATCTATGCTTGATGGCTGATAATATTGATCAGTCAAATAAAAAAAAAGTATGTGACTTGACTTATAATGAACTTTTATAAGTCTCTGAATGCATACATGTTGCATATTAGAAGTTAAAGAAAATGTATGCTAGTCTGAACTTAGAGTTACAAGAACTGCAAAGAGAACTATGTTGTTGTTTTTTTTTTGTATAATTAAAAAAAAAAAAAAAATAATTTTTGAATACAAATACTAATACAAGATACAGTAAGAGAGAGAAAAAGTAAGAGAGAGCAAGAGATATAAAGAGAGCAAGAGAGAGGAAGGAGAGAGAGAGAGGAAGATAGAGAGAGAGAGAGAGAGAGCAAGAGAGAGAGAAAGAGAGTAAGAGAGAGCAAGAGAGCAAGAGAGCAAGAGGGCAAGAGGGCAAGAGAGAGAGAGAGGAGAGAAAGAGAACAAGAAAGTGCAGGAGAGCTGAATATTGCATATTGCATTCCTTAAAGTACAATGACAGTATGGAACTGTAAGCCTATGTCTTCCAAGACAAAAACAAAAGGGGGAAACCTGAACATATAAGAGTAAGCGTCCATACAAAAACGACAGCCCAAAAGAAAAACAGCAGGAATAAGGAAAAGCCCCTTTGATTCGCAAGGAGGCCAACCTCAAATACATGTCTAGAAGTCCCAAAAGCGCTTAAGGAACAACTCCCAGAGGGAGGAGATACCTAAGTAGGGTTTGAAACAGCCCGAAGGCTGAGAGATATCCCGTTGCTCCGGCAGTTGTATAAACACCCTAGCACCCTAAAAACATTGTAAAAAGGTAAGGCCTCATTGTTCCTCAAAGGGGACAAAGTCCCCGCCAATATCATCTTGTAGATTCTTCCTCCGCTTCCTGGGCAGAGTGGCTATGGGTCCCAACTGGAGTAGCTGCTTCTCCAAAAAAGTCATCGGAGCCTTGTGCTGTCGTTTGGAAAGATTGACTATTGAGGAGGGCATCATTCTCCGATCTTGTGACACTGAAGGTAACCCTTTATTCTGTAGATGTTTTGCCGCTTGGTTCGACGATCCTTATGGAAATCTCCTCAATCCGCTGAGATTCAGCATGAGAGAGCTGAGGCGGGGACCGAGGAGGCTCAGCCCCCTTAATAGGTCCTTTGGTTGGCTTCTCGGTGGGGGCTCTCGGTTTGTTTCTCCTCTTATTGGTCACCAGATTCCAATCACCAAACGAGTCCTCCTCTTGCACCCCTTGACTGTGGGGGACGGATGTAGCTTGCTACTCCGGTTTAGAAGATGGCCCGCCCGGTCACGAGCAGCCCCCCATGCTGAGCATGGACGATTTGAGATGCTGTCCCCTGCGTGGGAGACGGTCCCTTAGCAGCTACAATGGGGATGCAGCTTCCTTTCACATGGCCAATGGAGCCACAGTCAAAACAGAAATTTGTAAGGCCTTCATACTCCACTCGCTGGAAAAATCTGCCATGGATGCCATTGATCCAAACTCCCGGAAGTAGCTTTTGAGAGACGTCAATCCTTACACAGATGCGTGCAAAGGACGACCGTCCCCACTTGCTTGTGTGCAAATCCATCCATAAAGGCTCACCGAGCGAGTTAGCGATGCGAGTGATGTTTTTAAGGTCCCAATAGATGAGAGGGAGCTGAGGCAGGCAGATCCAGATTGGAGAGCGAAGTCCATGAAGGGAGTTGGGTGAGCAAGTAGAGTCCCACTTGTCCATCCCAATATTGTTGCCCGCAATGATCCAAGGACCACTGGAAAGCACGACATCTCTGGCCTCATGACTCTGTAATATGCAAATGAATGTGTTTGGGCCTATAGTAATGATCTCAAATTCACCAAAGTGAAACCATCTCCGTTTAAGCTCCTGGAGAATGAAGGGGAAAGAAATACGCCTTCCCATGAGCTTAGCCACAATAGCCATGTCAAGCTTGGCAATGTTGTCCTTGACTGAGTTGAGTTCAGGTTGGATGGTAGTCCCATCCTTCGCAACGAAATGATCCCGAGACATCCTCTCAAGGGGCACGTTCTGAACCTTGTTTCACGCAAAGGGACTGTGCAGACGACCAAATGGCAGTGGATGAACGGCCTTGGTAGGCTGCGGTTTTGGCAAAACAGCATTAGGGGCCTTGGAGCCATTCCCACATGCACCTTGAGTGCATGATCCTGTAGCAATTTGCATGGGCATGGCTGTAATCATAGGCTGTTCACACCTATTGCTATCAGAATCAGTTTCCACCATGGCAGCATCCATGTCCATCGATAGCCTAGCTCCACACGAGCTGGCAACAATTTATGGACTTACCTAGAAGTCCCGATCTCCTGGGCGTTCCGATCCCATAGCTTCGTCCAAGCTGGTGGCAAGCCGGACCATGGCAGGGTGCTGGATGGTGTCTTCCTCCTGGTTGTCTTCCATACTGCAAGGAGCGGTAGAATCCCGCCCCGAGTCATCCCTATCATTCACAAGGGAAGCCTCTTGGTCGAACTCAGCAGCCCTAACCAAGTTCATCTCCTGGTGCTCATCAGATCGAGCCTCCTCTTTTAGTCTAACATCATCCTGCATGGGATGCTGGCTGGACGTTCAACACGCCTCCCCCATTTCACTTGCCTCGGCCGGTCCTCCCCCGAACATACCAGTAATCAGAGTGGAGATACCGAAGGAGCTCATAATCAGCTCACGCACAGCCGCCGGCTTGGAAACCTTAATACCCCGTTCCTTCTCAACGGCATCCAACAAACCATTGAGATCTGCCGCCTTACTTACCCCTAGGGTATTCTCCATGCGCAGCTCACACAAGGCCGTTTCCACCGAAACAGGCGGAGAACCGACCTTAACCGGTGCTTGAAAGTTTTCTTTGCCAGATCTGGCAGCCACCATAGATCTGAAGCCTTTTTCCTCCCACACATCGCGTAGGGCTGCTCCTTTGGCTAGAGCGATCGAGAACCGGCCAATTCCAGAAGATCTCGACGGAAGAGCCATCCTTTGTGCTGCTGAAGCCGGATCCCCCTCGCCGGGATCATCAGTGGCCAACGCCTGCCACCGGTTGCCTTGATTTATGTCCTTCCTACTCCCGCTCTTACCACCGCCGTTCCCCCCATTTGGAGGAGGTGACCTAGGGCCACTCCCTCTAGCCATCCCCAGAGCTTCTCAAAATGCATATTTCTTACACTAGTTCCATCAAATATAGGTTATATAGTAAATAAATTAGATTGATAAAAATTATACATGGTTGTGTAAGTAACTAAATTGAGATAGTATAACTCTATAAGTAAGACCTTTTTCACTCATTCAATCTGAAAGTACAACATACAAATGTTTCATATTTCTAATTATCCCAAATCAAACTAAGGCTACTTAACATATTGGAGTTTTTTCCTCTAGGGGTTCAAGAAAATAAAGTAATAACAATAACATCAAGCCTTTATCTAGAGAGAGAGAGAGAGAGAGAGAGAGAGAGATAAAGAGAGAGAGAGAGAGAGAGAGATAAAGAGAGAGAGCAAAAGAGAGAGATAGATAGAGAGAGGGAGAGAGAGAGGGGGAAAGAGAGAGTAAGAAGGAACAAGGGAGAGAGCAACAGAGTGTAAGAGAGAGATAGTAAGAGAGAGCAAGAGAGAGAGAGAGAGCAAGACATATAGAGAGAGCAAGAGAGAGGAAGGAGAGAGAGAGCAAGAGAGAGAGAGAAAGAGAGAGAGTGCAAGAGAGAGTAAGAGAGAGAGAGAGAGCAAGAGCGCGTGAGAGAGAGAGAGAAAGAGAGCAAGAAAGAGCAGGAGAGAGAGAGAATAAGATAAAGAGAGCAAGAGAGAGAGAGAGCAAGAGTGAGAGAAAGAGCAAAGAGAGATAGATAGATAGAGAGAGAGAGCAAGAAGGAGAAAGGGAGTGAGCAAGAGAGTGCAAGAGAGAGAGAGAGTAAGAGATATAGTGAAAGAAAGAAAGAGGAAGAGAAAGAGAGAGAGAGAGGGAGAGAGGAGAGAGAGAGAGCAAAAGAGCAAGAGAGAGAGAGAGCAACAGATATAGTGAAAGAAAGAAAGAGGAAGAGAGAGAGAGAGAGGAGAGAGAGAGAGCAAAAGAGCAAGAGAGAGAGAAAGAGCAAGAGAATGCATGAGAGAGGGAGAGAGAGAGAAAGAGAGCAAGAGAAAGAGAGCTAGAGAGAGAGGGAGAGAGAGAGAGAGGGAGAGAGAGAAAGAATGAGAAGGAGCAAGGGAGAGAGAAATAGAGTGCAAGGAGCATGGGAGAGAGCAAGAGAATGCAAGAGAGAGAGAGAGTGAGGGATAGAGAGAGAAAGCAAGAGAGAGAGATAGAGAGAGCAAGAAAGAGAGAGTAAGTGAGAGAGAGAGTGAGAGAAGGAGAGAGAGAGAGAGAGAGAGTGAGAGAGAAAGAGCTAGGGAGACAGCAAGAAAAAGAGAGCGAGAGCAAGAGAGCCAGAGAGAGCAAGAGAGAGAGCCAGAGAGAGATAAAGAGAGAGAGAGAGAGCTAGAGAGAGATAGTGAGAGAGAGAGAGAGAGCAAGAAGGAATAAGGGAGAGAGAAAGAGAGTGCAAGAGAGAGAGAGTTAGAGAGAGAGATAGAGAGAGATAGCAAGAGATAGCAAGAGAAAGTAAAAGAGAGCAAGAGAGAGCAAGGGAGAGAAAGTGCAAAAGGGGGAGAGAGCAAGAGAGCAAGGGAGAGAAAGTGCAAAAGGGGGAGAGAGCAAGAGAGAGCAAGGGAGAAATCAAGAGAGAGAGGGAGAAAGAGAGAGAGCTGAATCCCATTTTTAGAGCTGAATCCCGGAGAAAGAGAGAGAGAGGGAGAGAGAGAAAGAGAGAGACAGAGAGAGAGAACAAGATAAAGAGAGCAAAAGAGAGAGAAAGAGAGAGAGAGAAAGAGCAAAAGAGAGAGATAGAGAGAGAGAATGAGAGAGAGAGAGAGTAAGAAAGAGCAAGGGAGAGAGAAAGATAGTGCAAGAAGGAGCAAGGGAGAGAGCATGAGAGTGCAAGAGAGAGAGAGAGATAGAAAGAGAGAGAGAGAGAGAGAGAGAGAGAGAGCAAGGGAGGGCAAGAGAAAGTGAAATAGAGTAAGAGAGAGCAAGGGAGAGAAAGAGTAAGAGGGGGAAAGAGCAAGAGGGGGAGAGAGCAAGAGAGAACAAGGGAGAAAGCAAGGGAGAGGGAGAGAGAGAGAGAGAAAGAGAACACAATAAAGATAGTAAGAGAGAGAGAGAGATATAGAGAGAGCAAGAGAAAATAAAAGAGAGCAAGAGAAAGCAAGGGAGAGAAAGAGTAAGAGAGGGAAAGAGCAAGAGGGGAGAAAGAGCAAGATAGAGCAAGGGAGAAAGCAAGAGAGAGGGAGAGAGTGGAGAGAGAGGGAGAGAGAGAGAGAGAAAGAAAACACAAGAAAGATAGCAGGAGAGAGAGAGAGAGGGAGAGAGAGAGAGAGAGAGAGAGATAATAAGTAAAAGAGACAGAAAGAACAAGAGAATGATAAATAGAGAGAATGAGAGAGAGAGAGAGAGAGAGCAAGAAGGAGCAAGGGAGAGAGCTAGAGAGTGCAAGAAGGAGCAAGGGAGAGAGTAAGAGAGTGCAAGAGAGAGAGAGAGAGAGAGAGAGAGAGGGAGCAAGAGAGATCAAGAGAAAGTAAAAGAGAGCAAGGGAGAGAAAGAGTAAGAGGGGGAAAGAGCAAGAGGGGCAGAAAACTAGATAGAACAAGGGAGAAAGCAAGAGAGAGGGAGAGAGAGAAAGAGGGAGGGAGAGAGAGAAAGAGAACACAATAAAGATAACAGAGGAGAGAGAGAGAGAATAAGATAAAGAGATAGAAAGAGCAAGAGAGTGATAAAAAGAGAGAATGAGAGAGAGAGAGTAAGAAGGAGCAAGGGAGAGAGCAACAGAGTGCAAGAAGGAGCAAGGAGAGAGCAAGAGAGTGCAAGAGAGAGAGAGAGAGAGAGAGAGAGGGAGAGAGAAAGAGAGAGTGAGTGAAAGAGAGAGAGAGAGAGAGAGAGAGAGAGAG